CGGGCGAGGCGCTCCCCGGCCCCGGGTGTCCCGGGTGCGTCCCCCGGCGCTCCCCGTGCCCTCTGCCGGGCCCTCCCTGGTATTTAGGGTTTGCCCAGTCGCACCTGGGAGCCCCTGTCGTGCATCAGGGTCGCAGGGAAAACGCAGAGTTAAAAGGTAAGTCCTGCCTCTAAGGTTGTACCGTTAAATTCCCCAAGTCAATTTTTATACTTCTCTCAGATCTCTCTACCTGTGATGTGCCCCTCCACCAGATCCTCTAAGTGAAGTTGCCTTGCCTTGCTTTCTTTTGTAGCTATCGGTAAGAAAAAAATGTGCTGCAAATTCTATCGAGTGTTACTTTTAATAAAATGAGCACAAGGATCTGAGTTCTCAGGGATCTGTGCAGATGATTTTGTGCCAAGCAGTACTAAAATAAATGACTGAGCCTCCTGGTTTCACATTATTTGCTTGGGGGTTTTTCTACCATTAGGAGGCATGTGAGTGCTTCTTTACTTATATGCCACTTTTTTTTCCTATAGCACCAAGTACTAGATGAATGGGTTGCTAGGGAAGAGAGGGATGTGACAGTAATAAGAGAGCATTTGGGGGCAAATCAAATAGCTGTCAATATGACAGCATGTCACTCATTTCAGGAACTATTAAACCCTCTTGCTGTTGGGTAACAGCAGGCTAACGTGTTACTTTCTGAGCACATGTACAGATCTGTAGAGATTTCGACAAAAAATAAAAATAAATATAAAAAAACCCAACAAACAAAAAACCACTGTGTTTCAGAAAACGTGTCAACACTCTGTGTCTGTTGTGGGGGGCAGAAAAAAGGGAACTGAAAGAGCAACTGAAATTGTAGAGGATGGGCTTAGTTTGGGGCATGTGATATTTAAACTGCTGCTGTACAAGTGGTGACTGAATTTGTGTGAGTAAAGGGCATATCCTTAAAAGCAATAAATAGATTAAAATAAAAACATTGAAGGTAAAACCCTAGAGGACACTAAAGGAAAGAAGCAGGATGGACTCACTAAACTGAGAAGAGAAACTGTGAAAGATAACAAACCTTCTTTTAAAATATAAATGGATCATAGGCAGAGCAATATGGGGAATGGTAAAATGATGTAATGGTCCTAAAATTTACTTGGAAGAGATCATTAAGTACTTAGAAATGTAGAGTTACTTTTACCCCTAGGGACTTCATTGGCATCCCAGAGAAGTATCAGGGTAACTTTGGCCAGAACTGAACAGAAGTCCCAGTTATATCCATAGTGAGTATAAAAAAACCCAGATGTTCCTTTTGCAGAGCCCCTTCAAGAATCAAGACATACATTAATGGTTTTATAGTTATTTAGTGACTGAGCAGTGGCAAGGTAGCTCAGAGAATTTCAAGCATCTCTGGCAAGAAAAACTTTTTGTATGCATTTGTGATACTTGGCATGATATAAGCTCTTGATGTACAGCAAAGGCATGGGGGGTTTTCTTCCCTTTTTAAAATACCAGAGGCAGTGCAGACTCTGACATTTGTTCAGGAGCTCTACAGCCTTTCTTCCTGCAGTTTCCTTCACATGACTGCTAAACAGCAGATTGCATTTTGTGAGCTACCTCTTTCCCAACTTCTGTATCCACTTCTGTGCCAGATTAAGTAAACCCTCTGGGTGGAAATTTCAGCTTATTTAAATTGTACTGGGTTTGACCTTGAGTTAGTGAAAACTTGTGTACATCCATTCATTGCAATGGCACTTCAACTTTCAGCCTCTGCATTGCTAAAAATAAGTAACTTGTCTGCTGGTAATTCAAATAAGACCCATTTTCTTAAGAGGTGCATCAGAAATAGTGACTATACATAGGGGGGAAAGATGATCACATGAAGACTTTCTTTTCTGAAGTGAGTCTGAAACCTTGTACAACAAAAACAAGGAAGAGCCACTTGCTTGCTAGTTACTTTTGATTACTTTTGGTTTTTAAGAATCCATGCAGTCCTTTATTGTGCCAGAATGCAACATGATGGTTTTAAATAGTTGGATAATCTTACAAACTAACTGAAAGTGCATTTAAAGCATACAAAGTCTTTCCATAAAGCCTGTGACTGGTGCCCATGTGAAAGCAAGGTGTTAGCTTCCACAGTAATCTGCATTTCCTAGTCACCATGCCTGGCAGTGCCCTTTTCCAGAAGGGTTACTGTGCTCATGGCAGAACTGGCACATAGTCAACATACCCTGACATTATTAAAGATGGTCCTCCCTGGAAGAAGCTGTGGCAGCCAGAGTGTGGGATACTCCACATTGCCAAGGTGTAGCAATGACTTCAGCTTCAAGAACTGACAAGTTGGTATTTTTTTTTCAGGAGTAATAATACATTGTTTCTTAGAATATTGTCTGAAATCATATTCATTCTCAAATCCCTGTATAGCAGTTCTGTACAGCAATAAAAACATACTTTTTCTTTTGTTTTAGGATTCTGGGTTAAGATTCCACTATGTGGCTGCTGGAGAAAGGGGTAAACCACTCATGCTGCTGCTTCATGGCTTTCCAGAATTCTGGTAAAACTCCCTATGCGCTTTTCTTGTGTAAAAGAGGCCACTTAAGACACCCAAGAGTGATCATCTCAGCTGAAGTATACCCAATGTGGTCTGGTTTATGTATCTATGAGTACTAACTAATGGCATGATGTTTTATTAGGGAACAAACCATTGAAACTTTTTGAACTGCAGCATCTACAAAAAATTCCTGCAGGCTGACACAAGCCAACCATCTTTTTTTGCACTGTCAACCCACTTTTCTGCAAGTATGTACACTTTTCTTCAAACTTTGGGAAGGAACTGCTCATTTTTAATTTATTTCCTATTTGGATAAAGTTTGTACTAATATGGCTAAAGTTATTAATTATAGCAGAGGATCCACTATATGTTAAGTGCAATATGGATTGCTTCCTTATGTTAAAAAAACTATACAGTAATTTTTAACTGAGGAAGGGAAAGAAGAACTAGGAGTTCTATAGGCTATTGTGCATCCTAATTTCAGAATGCTACTCAGGGAAAAAGGTTCTATTATTAGCTAATCATAAGATGAATGATGAATCAAACCCAAACCTAAATGTTTGTTTATAACAATGAAAAGCAGTCATGTGTCTAATGATTTAAGCAAATTGCCCGGGCTGTCATTGCCAGGTTTAACTAGCGAAGCATGGCTTACAGAACTTGCACCGAAAATTAATAAGGAAATAGGGGAACTGACAATGCCAGTAATTCAGCAAGTTAAACAGTCCTTTTCCTTTCTAAACCCAGATAGGGAGCTAGGCTCCACTGATGGAACTGTGATCTTTCAAGCTGGAATACCATGATAAATTGAGCCAGGTAAACCAGAGGTCAGTTCTTTTCCCTTAGCAATTTCCTAGATACTAATGGTGATGGTAGAGGACGATGGTAGAAAGTCATATTTATTTCAAGATAGATTTTCAAAGAAGTAGATTGTTCTAATAATAAATGGCTATCTAAAAGGAATAAAACTGTAAATTTTCATTAAAAATACAGATAGATTGGGGGAGTTTGCATGTTCTATGCAAACATTATGCATATCTTGCATCATGAATATTCTAACACAGTAAGACAGCTGAGACTAAAGCTAACTTCACCTACAATTATAATAATACAGCAAAATTCAGCATTTATATACATATTCTAATGAGATCTAGTATATTATTTTCAAAAAGCAGAAAGCCATTCTTACAGTTTAGAATGGTAAGTCATGCTTTAAGTGACAGTTAATATGTTTTATTCTCTGACCATTCAAAAGGTGTAAATAAGAAACTGTTACATAGGTCACTGGGACCACCAATAGCATAATTTCTATAACTGTTTTTAAAAAGAATATATCCCAATATTCTGCAGAATAGTTGCACTACCAATACTGATGTTGGTTTGTTAATTCAGTCTGTGAGGAATTTTTAAAGCAAGAATAGAGATTGTTCTAAGAGCACAAGATAAAATAATCACAATGTAAGAGACATTTAAAGCTGCATCAAGGTTGTATCTGTTGGCTAGCAAAAAAAAACCCAAAATGGATATGAGTCACAGATACAATTCTTAATTCTTATAGATCCTCTGCCTTTTTCTGCCTCAAAGTACTAAATAGGACAACGGCAACTATACAAGGCTGACCTTAGTGAGTGAGAATTTCTGAAGGTGAAAGATCACTTAATAAAAGGACCCAGAGCCATTAACTGCTTTAGATGCATAAGAACTTGAAGGTCAATACCAATGTTGTGCAAAGACAATAACAATATATTTGTAATTGGGCATAATGTGTTGAGACAGCTGGGTACCTACAAGACACGTTGTGAGCTGCTAAATTTTGTACAAGCTGCCTTTCAGAAATAATGTGATGAGAAAATCACAAAATATTTTCAGCATTTGACCTTTTCAACATGAAAGCATTCACCAACATACCCAGATTCTGCTTGCACAACAGTTACATTTCATATGTGGTAAAAGGATTTCTTTGAATATAAAATGTTCCCATTTGGTAGGTCAGACATTTGGTGATTGTCAGTTGTGAAAACAGAAGATGAGGATAGCAAGCAGACATTTTCTGAGAACTAAAATAGTTTGTTTATTTATTTATTTATGGGGCTTGTTGTTTCTTCTTACTGAAGTATATAGGATAGCTACAGCAGTTGCCATGGCAAATTCAGCTTCCAAGTCATTGTATAAAATTTCCTTCCTGAATATCTCAGCTAAATCTTGTCTTTGCACTATATGGCACTGCAATTAAAAGGTTCTGACTGTTCTGTTTATATGAATACATGTTGCTGTAATGAATTAGTGTTACTGTAATATTATTTACATTAAAAGTCCCTAGTGGGCTGGAGGCAAAGCTAAAATGGAAGAACAAACAGTCTGATACCCTGTTTGAATTAAAGTAGAATTCTGTGCCTCAATCTTACTATTGCTGATCATCCAAATGTTATTTATGGTTTATATGAGATTACTGAAACAAGAAGCAGAAGTCAAAGCTAGATCTCAGCAAAAGGGATGCAGCCATTTTTACACATGCCCAGAAGGATCATGTTTTTTTGTGTAGAAGAGACCATGCCTGTCTCGGTACTCGCTATTCTGAAATTCATTTGGTTCTTGCAGAATGAGGTCCACCATTTGCTTTCTGCTTCATAACACAACGTTCTATTACAGAATGAGGAACAGCTCAGGCCTTTGTCTGAGTTCTTAATTTTACATGTCTTTTAAGGTGTGTAACGTTATCATTCCTTTCCATACCTTCTGTAGTACCAGCTATTTTGTTCTGGAACAATTTAGGTAGTACAGATACAGATTAGAGTGTACATAATATAAATCGTATAAACTTCACGTAGTTAGTTTGTTATCCATCGTATTTCTTTCTTTGGTTTATTTAATGTATGAGTTATCTGACATTTCGATAAAGAAAGGAAAGGAAAGGAAAGGAAAGGGAAGGAAAGGAAAGGAAAGGAAAGGAAAGGAAAGGAAAGGAAAGGAAAGGAAAGGAAAGGAAAGGAAAGGAAAGGAAAGGAAAGGAAAGGAAAGGAAAGGAAAGGAAAGGAAAGGAAAGGAAAGGAAAGGAAAGGAAAGGAAAGGAAAGGAAAGGAAAGGAAAGGAAAGGAAAGGAAAGGAAAGGAAAGGAAAGGAAAGGAAAGGAAAGGAAAGGAAAGGAAAGGAAAGGAAAGGAAAGGAAAGGAAAGGAAAGGAAAGGAAAGGAAAGGAAAGGAAAGGAAAGGAAAGGAAAGGAAAGGAAAGGAAAGGAAAGGAAAGGAAAGGAAAGGAAAGGAAAGGAAAGGAAAGGAAAGGAAAGGAAAGGAAAGGAAAGGAAAGGAAAGGAAAGGAAAGGACTTTACTCCATCGAAATGTGTGTGAGCAACTCAGAGAGAAAGCTTTTCAGGCCTTACTTTTTTATGATAGCTACAGCTCCAAGGATAAAACAGAACAGTCCTCTGTATGCTCTGGTTTATGCCTGCTTCCTTTGCAGCTAAGGGACCATGCTAAACTCCAGGAACTGTTGAACATCCAGGCTCTGGCCATGGTCCCTGGCAGTTGCAGGAGCAAAATACTACTATAGCCACAAGTGACCATCAAAGTACCACATAAAGAAAAAAGAAATCTCATTGCAAACAAAGCCATGCTAGTTTACCATCAGCTATTTGAGACCAAAAGCATTTACTTCATTTTGAGATCATACTGCTTGACCTTATAACACCAACTTTTTTTCCCCTGTTAGGTATTCTTGGCGCCATCAATTGCGGGAATTTAAAAGCGAATATCGAGTGGTGGCTCTGGATTTGAGAGGTTATGGAGAAACAGATGCTCCTTCTCACAAAGAAAATTACAAGTTAGATTGCCTGATAACAGATATAAAGGATATTTTGGAATCTCTAGGTGCGTTGGTAGAAGACAAACTACTCAGCTTATAGGTTATTTGATTTTCTGGCAAAAAGCCTGTAAAGGTTGAGCACTGATTTTTTTTAAACTGCATTCTCTTTAATATTTATACACATTACAGATGTGTGTAGATATAAAGCTAAGGATACTCCTATTTTATGGACTATTATCAATATTCATGACAAAGGTTTGTTTTCTAATTATGATGTGTATGTCAGTATAAAAATATGTAAAGATCATTTTTTCCATCATTAGTTTTAAAAAAAAATCTTCACAGTCTACTGGATCTTTTTCCCTAAGAAGGGCTTCACTTACTCCCAACCATGGCACTTAATAGATAATGTTATGAATTAGAGTCTAATAGCACTTGTGGACCAACTAATTTTAATCAGGTGACATTTTTCTTGCACAAACATGACTGAATAAATATTGTGTGCTTTATAAAGATAATAGCACTACATCTGCTGTATTAAAAAAATACATCCCAAAATACTACTCTTGCACAGTAGTCAAGAGCTGAATCACTCTCCCTTATACAACAGCAAGAAGAACAGAAGGGAGAGCAAGGGACACATTGCTCCCTGTGGCAAATACACAGCCTAGAGCTGAAGCGAGTCTGCAAAATGTGCTCCCCCCCACTTCAGTCTAAAGTGTAGCTGTTCTGGCCATAAATTGTAACACCTAGTGAAGGGTATTTCCCTTCCAAGGGATTGAACTGTCATTCTTGGAATCATTTTAATTCCCTAGATACTCCAAGGAGAGTGAAAGAACTTACTGCATTTCACATGAAGAAAGAGTAAAGCAGGCAGTAAATTCTGACCCTAAGATCTGAATTTAGGATGTGCTCTGCTTGTGATGTTTGAGTATTGTCAAAAGATAGAGCAGGCAGTCCCCACACTGTGTTTACTTTTTCCAGCCTTTGCTGGTTGTGTTAATCTCCATGGTAATGCCATGGTTATACTTGTGAAGTGCTCTCATAATAATTCAACTTCATAGGGATTTAAAATTTTCTGGAAGAAGTATTTCTGAGGCCTGTTATCTTAGTTTGTTCTAACCCCAAGTTAAATTCTTTTTGAGAACTTGATTATATTAAAAGTACCAAGAGGAGTTATAAGGTGCTTTGTCAACTGTGTCCAAATTTATGTCGAAACTCTATAATCAGTTCGGCTTTTATACATTAAGTTTGTAGTGTATGTGCTCAGCATTACAGTTATCAATGAGTTACAGTTATTATGAGGAGTGTGAGGTATAGTATGTGTCTGAGCAGTGGTTAAAGTAGGAATGATTAGCCTTTCAAAATCAGTTATGGTTTTTCTCCCCCCTTTTATTGCTGCTAAATTACCATTTTTATTGATGGGAGAATAAGTACATAGATGCCAAGAAAATTTAAAATTGCCATCAAAACAGCATATGGAGAAAAGCTACAGGCCTACTAAGTATATAAATGTGTATATGTGTGTTATATATATATGCTATAAATACATGGCCATTAAGTATAACACCTACTTATATGCATAATGATGGTGTTCAGTGCTTAGATAACCTCCCATATTCAGAGAAATTCGTAAGGATTCGCTTTGTTCAGAAGGGACTCAGGAGATTGCTCAGCCTTTCTGGCTGCAGTTTCAAACTCCAAACTCCTTAAACATGACAAAAGTACATGCATTATAGTGACTGAAATTTAGACTGATATCTGACTCCACATTGGCCAAGATATGAAAATGGTGCCCATGTGTATACCAAGAGACTTTAGTTTGACATTGAGGTAGTATACATACAGTGTAATTGAAGTAAAATTAAGTAATTGTAATTTTTTTATTTTTTTTTTCACCTATAATAGTTCACTATTTTTTCTGGCCATTAGTAATAGAAGCAGTGCAATATTAAATAGTTCCATTAATACATGTGCTGGACTGCCTGTTTTGCCCAATAATTATTTTACTGTATGTGATAAGTTTGTATGGATGCAAATTCCACTGATAAAAAAGCACAAATCTGTGTTTGTATTTATTAGGATACAATAAGTGTGTGTTGATTGGCCACGACTGGGGAGGAATGATCGCTTGGTTAGTGGCGATATGTTACCCTGAAATGGTGACTAAGCTGATTGTGGTTAATTTCCCTCATCCTTCTGTGTTTACAGGTGAGTTTTATAGTAGTCTATGTTAACCCAGAGTATCTGCGTTTTCATTAATACTGTGTTTGCTTTGAGGTTGCTAAAGAAGAACCAGCTACTTGTCCCTTTAGATGTCCAGTCGATGAACTGCCAGTACTCATTGTCTCTCACAGTCTGGACTGTATTTTAGGAAGCAGTGAGATATCAAATATTTGACTTTTGGAAATCATGTAGGAAGTGAGAGTGCTTGCAGCCAAATTTACTCATGTTCTTCTTAATCCTTGAAGGTCCACAAACATAATTTTCATATAAATGAATCTGTTTTATACTACTTTGGCAGGATACAATTCCCCGAACAGGGGTGTATGTTACATTACACCTAAGTGTAATGTTACTAAATGTTACTGCATTACTAAATCTGCATAAAACAGGCTTTGGATAAATGTGAAACAGACAATTTAATTTAATTGTGATTTAGCTGATAAGTGACAATTCATGATCTTGTACAATATTCACTGGAACAAGACAGCTTTTCCATGCTACTTACTAGAGGCTCAGGAGTGCACTAGTAGTGAGCTGAAACAATTAGGTGCACTAGAAAATTTGTTGTGTGACACGTTTTGGGCTTGTCTACTGCCAAGAGTTATAAAACATTACATAGGGATTAGATCTGCATTCTGTAATTAAAATGAAAGTAGTATCTCAATAATTTTGATTTCTTCAGTTCCTTATCCTATTTCAATTTTAAAAGTCACCCCATTTCCCCAGAAATAGTTAAGAATATTAAGTGCAGCTTCAATTTTCATTTCAGTTGAATGTATATTTGACCTTAAACCACCATTGAATCATAACCTTTCAGACATGTTGTTCTCATAGTTTTCTTGGGCACCTTTCTAAGATAAAAAAAAAACATTTTACAAGGTAGTTAAGCCTCACTTACCCAAGGAAAGGTCTCTTCATCAACACCTGAGCAAGCAGAAGCTTTCTGCAGTATCTTCACCGGGAACAGGAGCCAAGCTGTACAGAAGACAAATACATTTTATTATAGTATTTCTTAGTATTTGTTTGCATATTTGTTAAAGAAAAAATAAGTTCTGTAGCTTGATAAATTCTCCTTGAATCATGTTCGTTCTACTTTGGATTAATTAAAAATGCACCATTTCTAAGTTGTGCAGAATAGTAAAGTGAGCAGTGTTTATAATAGTCCATTAAGCAAAAAGGTTAGATGCTTGAATGTCAGTGTTGGCTCTTGCAGCTCATTGAAGACATAAAATTATGTTTAAAAAAAAAAAAAAGATGTTGCAAATTTGGCCATCTAATTTTATATATGCTCCAATATCTTTTAAAAGTTATACTACATAATCTAGATCAGGGTTCTTGAAGTTGCCAAGAAGACAACTGTTAGAAAAACTGAGCTTTCATGAATAGGACTGATGCTGTCTTTAGAATGCAAGTGAATTATCACCTACACATTTCTGTGCATCACATATTTGAAGAGAAAAATACTTAACGACTTGTATTTTTGCCTCTTATTCCACAGCTGAAAAAAAAAGGCTTTGGACTAGCTACACAAGTAGATCTCTAAGTGAAAACCTGTCATCCGATTAAACTCTCTAATGTCACTGCCCTCACCTAATCTTTGTCAGGCTTCCAATTTGTTCACTGTTTCTATTAACACATGTAAAAGAAGTATGTTTTAATGGCCACATCATTTACTTACTCCTAAAAAAATAATCATCTTTTGTCACATAGCATGCTCTAATGTAATATTCTTAAAACATTCCTTTCAGTTTAAAAAACAGTAATATTAACAGTAATTTTGTTTGAGTCATCAGTTTTCATTTTTAATTCATGGGCATTTTTGTTTCAGAATACATTCTACGACATCCATCACAATTGATTAAATCTGGTTACTACTTCTTTTTCCAAATGCCATGGTTTCCTGAATTCATGTTTACAGTAAATGATTTCAAGGTGAGCAAAATGAGTGCTCTTGTTTATATATTTAACTGTGAGTGATGGAAGAATTGCCACCTACATTGACCTCTTCTGATGTAGGTATAATTACTGGAAAAAATAAGGAGTTTTCTGATTTTTCTTCTTAAGCTTTATATATTTATTTAATGTAGGATGTAAGTACATAGAGTCTCTGAGATTAACTCCTGCTTTTGCATTTCTGGGAAGGCTTCAGGTTCATAAATTTAACCTCCAGCATTACCGTGCATTACTCTACCTAGAGGGTCAGCTGGTTTTACTTGTGACTTTTCTGAAGCTCCTGTGTGCAGTGGGACATCCTCTTATCCCTCAGAGCCTGCTACAGGGCAGGCAGCCTGGGAGTCTGGGCATCAAGTTCAGCCAGTTCATTAATTCTGCCTGAGAAACCAACAAGGCCAACACCTTGTATAACCTTAAAAAACAAGCCCAAGGGTATAGAAAGAGAAAAAAACAGCTGCAAACATGCATCCTCCTACATGCATGCAGCCCAGTACAGGGCTCACAGTGCTGCAGGGACACAGGGCACAGCAAGCTGAAGAGATCCTGAATCATTCTTGCTCCTGCCCTCTCAGCTGCTGGGGTCCATCCCAAATAAAACATGTGCCTTTGCCTGTCCCAGGTGGCAGGTCAGGGTGCAGAACTGAGTAGCTTGGTAATACTGGTATTTCCCCATACTTGATTACTCCAAAGTAGGCTATACCAGAAATAAGATTCCCAAGTGCTTTACATGTAGCTCTCTAAAAAAAATTCATTATACTCTAAACATTGTATAAATAGATTTTAGAAAGATGTGTCCTGTTGAAGGAGAGAAATCCTTTTTTCTAGCTATCTTATGTGATTTTATTCTTCCCTTTGTAGGTTCTGAAAAGATTATTTACCAGCCAGGCCACTGGAATTGGACGGAAAGGCTGCAGATTAACAGCAGAGGATATTGAAGCTTATCTCTATGTCTTTTCGCAACCTGGAGCATTAACTGGACCCATTAATCACTACAGAAATATTTTCAGGTGAGGATAACATTCTAAAACCAGGTAAAATATTCTAGAGACCCCTTGAGGCCAAAAATGTGATTGCATCGTCTGTGCCAGAGTAGACTCACTGGCAGCAGTAAGCATGTATAGCAGGGAGCATGCAGAGACAAACTGATAGTATCATAATAGGAAATATTTTTTCCAGCTTAATATTTATTTTATTTTCTCCAGCAGTTTTCTAATGGCTTTAATTCTCCTGGAAAGAGTTGGGTTAACCTTGGAGACTGATGCCCCCTTTTTTCTACCATAAACTTAACAGGGCCAGGTCTTTAACTCTGCATATACCCTACCTACAACTTGTAGCCCTAACATGAAGGACAATACCAAGAAGACTGGCACTGAACTCCGTTTCCTTTTACTGCCTCCAGTCTTCAACAGCGCTAAGTCTCTTGGGTGCTTCCCAAACATGACACCAGCTTCTCAGTATTCTTTAAAAATCACAATTCTTTTCCTTCCCTAAACTCAGACAGTCAGATTTTTAAGTGGATTAACTTCTCCTTTTCCCTGGTCCAAATTTAGTGCCAGTTTTACTTTTTGTTCTGTGCCTTCCATGCTGCTGCTGTCAGCAGAGCAGTCAGCATGGGAACAGTGGGAGATGGAGGTCTTTGCTAGGTGCTGTCTTGTACAGGCTGAGAGACAAAACTGCAATGAGAAACTAGAGAGAGGGTATATTTTCTTCTAAACAGGATAATACCAAGCACAGAAATCAGTGGGGAATAAATGAGATGCTGTGCTGGTAACAGTATACTTATTTAAAGCTATGCAGAGAGTGGTGATGGCAGCAGCTGGGATGCCAAGGGGTGGTGGGAAGCTGTGTGGCTGCACAGCAGCACCCTGGCCCCACTGCAGGAGCCCCCAGGGAAGGGCTAATGAGGAGCTGGAGAGGCACGAGTGCCCTATGCCTTGTTCATCACATTTGCCACCTCGCATCAGTGAGTGTGCACATTTACCAGATGCTTCTCTGACAGCAACAGTGAATGATCTGTGAGAACTGAATTGCTGGGGGATTCAGATGAGACAAATATAAGAGTTGTGTACGTTTAAACTTGCTTCAGGATTTTTCAGGATTAAAAAAAAGCCTAATATCAGTTATTAATCAGGAAGTATCATCATAGCTATTATTAATCTCTGTGTATGTTTGTGCATTGTTTGCTTCTAGTGAAAATATACTTGTACCGAATTCAGAGTGTCATTTTTAGGTGCCATCAGCCACAATGCAGCAGGCTTTGGGCTGGAAAGAAAAGGCTCTTCAGCTCATTCAGTTCTTGCCACCAATCTGATGGTTGCACCTTATGGGATGTGAATCATTAAACATTAAAACTGGATTGAAATTTTAACTTCCTTTCAAATAAGTCACTGAGCAGCCCTTAGATGCTAATTACCTGCATTCACCATAACCCCCATTGGACTGGCACTACTGACCTATGTGATAAATGTTTCAAACTCCTTACAATCCACCTGGAGTTTCATTCTTCAGAGCTTAGTTTTTTTGGAAGGTTATTTCCAAAGAGATTATTGAAATTACCTACTTCCATCACCAACACACCCTTGTACGAATAGCCCAGCAGTCATTCACTTCACTATACTTTAGATGCAAACACTTTTGGAATAAAAATCATAAAGTTTTTTGTATCGTGCTTGTTTAAGAGAGACACGTTAGCAGTTGAAGCTTGAATTTCCTCTGATACGCCATTTTTTAGGAAATGGGATTACTTCTCTTCTAGCAGTTAAGAAGTACTTCAGAATTTGTTTACAGAAAAACTGTTGGTGCTGTATGAAGGTTTGAGTCTGTTTTTCCAAAACTTAAACTTCACTAAAAGAACTTGCCTTTCTAAATGAGAAACCTGTGCATTAATCCTTGTTAAAGGAGATTTATAGAACCTGTAGATGTTATATGATATGCCATATTCCAGACTGAAAAGAAATAAAGTGTAGCTCATAGGCAAGGAAAAATAACTGGTTGTTTATCTCTACAGTGTGTGTAAAAAGCCCAGTAGAGTTTTCCTAAGTGAGGCTACAAATCTTGTGTGGCATTTAGCCACAAAAGAATAATAGTAAATCCTGCAGTAGTGAAAAGATAAATAAACAAGTAGTGCAGAGATCCAGCATAGTGGATTTAAAATGTAAGGATATTAGTCTAAATGCACAGAATCAGATAATCAATTTTTAAAACTGATATGATGAATAAACTCTGATTCAGTGGGTTAGGTCAGTTTGAAAAATGAGATTTTAAATACACTGCTACAAAAGCCATTTTAAGAATTTTCTTAATTCATCAATCAAAATGAAATGTAAATTATTATTTAAAGTGACCTTTTACGAATATTCTTTGACATTGTGTGTAAGTAAAGAGGAAGAATGTCTTCAGAGTCTCAGTTTCTTCAGCTTATCTTAAACTAATGTATGCCATCTTCCTTTTTTTTAAAGAGCATAATCTCTTAACTAACTCATAGCACTTAAGTTTCTCATAAAAGCTTGTTCAGGAAATTTTCTTTATACAGTACTGGTTTAAAATGATAAAGTGTGAGCATTAGTATAATGAAGATTTGTATCTGATCAAATGGAATCTGTTTTGAATTGTCACAACTAGTCTATTACAATCTGTGGCTAAGGTTAAGCAATTCCAGCATAAACTAGATAAATATTTCAACATCTCTGAAACAGATGAGCTGGAATAAATTCTGGTGGGTTAATATGGTTTATGGTGAAATAGCCTTTCATTTCTAGCTACCTGTACCTCTGTAATGTGAAGGAAGTATATAAAGTAGTCCATTAAAAATAATTTTATTAAGGAAAAAAAGTTTCTGCTGAAAGTTTAAATAGATCATTGTAGTTGTATAATTTTTATTAATACTTCACTTTCTAACAGTTTTTATTCCAAATATCAATAAAATGTTTAAAAATGTATTTATATTTAAACATTTTCTAGTCTGTCCACGCTCTGGGTTGTGATGTTGCAGTTTTAAAGATACTATGACTCCATGAAAGGATAGTTTTAAGAAACAGTTTTCTTTCATTGCATACAGATGTAGGTATGTTAATCCAAGGCCTTCAAAAACATCCTGTAGTTATTTATATAGGGAACTCTGTGGCACTCACAGATGAGTGAATGTAACTGACTTCAGTTCAGCTTTTCAGACATCAATGTTCTATAGAGTGTCTTTTTCTACAGATATGATTCTTTTTAGCTGTGCTACATAATAATTAATGTAAGTAGGTCTGAAGCACTCTAGCTGTGTTCTTCCATAGGGCGCAAAAAAGCAGCCTGCCATTTCCTAGACAACCACTTTTTTGGTAAAGCAGTTTGGCTACTCGGGTAGCGAGATGCCTTGAACACTGTAGTCTAAATGAGATTCAAGGCATCACATCTCATTAAAGCATAATGCAGATTCAGAAATTTGCCATAGCATTCCTCAATCAAGGAAAAGCCACAGATCTACAAAATGCTTGCTGTGTTGTGCCACATTCCCTTTTACAGAGATCACAGGGCTCCTTCGCACCATGCCAAAGCATCATTCATGTTCCAAAAATAAGAGCTCTGCTCCAATCAACTGCCAATCACAGACATGCTACAGGAAAAGTATCTAACAATTTTACCTTCCTTCAAAACAGTTAAAGGCCTTTGAGTCACCAGAGTGTTTTCTTGGTATTGTAGAAGATAACTTGGAACCTAGAAAGCTTGCAGCGAGATTCACCGTGTTGATTTCAAAAGCTAAGTAGGCTGAAATCTGACTATGTGTGTTTTATTTTTAAAGCTGTCTACCTCTGCAGCACCATGAAGTCACCATGCCAACCCTGCTGCTATGGGGAGAAAGAGATGCATTTATGGAAGTTGAGATGGCAGAAAATACACGGATTTATGTTAAAAATCATTTCAGATTAACTATTTTGTCTGAAGCCAGTCATTGGCTCCAGCAGGATCAGCCTGACATAGTGAACAAGTTGATATGGACCTTTCTAAAGGAAGAGATAACAAGAAAAAGAGAATGACTGTTTGTATGTGTTTTAAAGGGTCTACATAAAAGCTCTTCAAATTTAAAAACTAATTGTTATCAGGGCCATATTTCCAGCCTGCCTTCTATTTTTAGCTCTGTTAGAGAAAAGTGTTTTCAATGTACTGTACATTTGGACACCAATCTTACTGCTAAAAGAAAGAGTAAGAGAATATATGATACCAACATTGGTTTTACCTGTATACTTGTATTTTGCACATAAATACACCTGCCTTAAGATATATATGTATTTGTACAGAAAGAAATCATGGAAAGTTGCTTTTTTTTTTTTTCCTTTTCTCCCTTGCTTTACAGTTTCAATGTGTGGTGCCTTTTACAAATTTATCATGAAACAATAGAGTGGTGCCATACAGAAGAAAGTAATGAGTTTTCATTCTAGATTCACCTGGATTTTTTTAACGTTTTACCATTCAACAGTAACTAACTCTTTTTATTATCTATATTTTAGCATATTGGATGACTGAAAAATTTCTGAGGCCATTTCTAGTATTCAAGTGAATAATGAACTTGTATTGTTGAATGCAGCTGCTTTGTGCAATGTGCTTTTCTTTCTTGACTAAAAAATGAGAAACCTGTACATTCAACATGTCTGAACAAGAAGAATGGAAAAATAAAATAGAACATGTATTGAATCCATCTCTGTCTAATAAAATACAACTTACACTACTCCCTTTATCTGATTTCCTATGGGGAGATTTCTTACTGAAGCTAACAATTGGGTTTGAATAGTGTCAGTCCCCTGTGCAGCCTTCCTCATGCTACAATTGTTGTAGTTTCTGGGAAATAATGACTCCTTGTTGGCATTATTCTTCCTATGTTAGCAACTACTGTTCTTGTCTCCAAGAACTGCTGCCAAGTTCCTGTGTTTATAGGAGAAAGAGACATAGTGATTATGGAAACAGAGGGTAGAATTAACTTGCATGTGATGGCCAAGGAGAAGAAAAGTGTATGCTAACTACAAATTAAAAAGCAGCACAAAATGCAAGTCTCCAGAAGAGGTGAGTCACCTGCACACATGGTTTCCAGAGGCTCCCTCTCCACTTGCAGAATAAATGCAGTGTCCTAGGAAACAGGGAGGGATCAAGGACCCACCGGGGGAGTCATCGGTGGCAAGTGGGCTTGAACAAACTGTCCATCCAAAAGTAGAAGAAAGCTGACAATCGCTGGGGAGTCCCAACAAGCCCCATGCTCCTGTGCATGTCATTTCTTTGGAGCCACAGTCTGATGTTCTGCTTGACTTAATCCTCACAAGAAAGTGGACCCAGGGGAGCCATCAACCAATTGTTGGCTCATGGCTGGCAATCTGCTTCCTTTTGTGCAGTTTGGAAAACCTGATGAGTCCCCTCAGGATGGTGCAAAGTCTTCAATCCTGCCTTTTCCACCCAGGCTGGTACCTGCCCTGCCAGGGTATTCTCACCCCGCCGAGTACTTTCAGTGTCTATCAACTGAAGGGGTCACACACTTCTTTAACTGTAGGGTCGGAAGAGTGTTGCAAAGCAACTTCTATAACCCATGCAGCAGATTAATTCCTCACAAGAAAGCCAGCGCCGGGGAATGTTTTTCCAGAGCAGCATTTCCCCTGAGGCCCGCTGCCCCCCAGCCC